TTTTTCAAGTTATGATCAACATACTAGAAATAATTTTTAATAAAAATAACAACTAGATCACATGAAATTTAGAATTTGGGGCATACTGCAACAAAACCAAACAAAGTGAACATTGGTATTACCAAGAATTTCAGGGATCATAATTTAATTATTACTACTACTACTACCATCATAATTAGTCCCATTTGTTAAGTGATATGTATATAAAACCACCCCTATATAAAAATAACAATACTAATACAGAGTTAATTTACATTGGGTCTACTGTTAGAACCCAAGAATTACTTATTATAATGTAAACAATAAAGATGGGAACCGCAATTAGCCACAATTCAATTTTCATATGCCACAACTGCAATTCAATTTTTATATGCCACAATTAGTTGCAATTAATTGAGGAGCCATCTTTAGTAAACAACAAAAAAAATAGAAATGAATTTCGCAAATAATTATTTCTAAATTTGATAGTCTGCATAATGTCCATTTAACAATAGTAAAATTTATAAACAAGTTCTTTGAAAAGATCTTGTATTTTTATTTACATTCTTTGGTTTTATTATTAGACTTTTCTATATAACTATTGATGTTTATAACATTGATAAAACAATGATAGCTTTATGACCTTTCTATTTCTGTAAAAGATTCAATTGGCACTTCTAATTTTCTGCGCAATCGCTCTAGCCATACAAGATCATGTTTTTTTTTCATCACCATTCCACCTTCAACACCTTCAGGCCAATCAATGTTGGGATTCAGAGTAGGATATTTATCAGTCTCTGCTTTGCCAACCCAATCAAAATCAATCAGCCATGCTTGATATTGTTCCATATTTGGTGAATGTGTTATCATAATATTATTTTCCCTAAGGTCACCAAATACATAATTGTTATCATGAAGTATACAAACTGCATTAGTAATATTTTGATATATAAGAATCCTTTCATCAGTATTCAGCTCCAAAGGTTTTTGTATCATATCATACAATGTGTCAACAGTACCAAGGTATTTCATAATAACCATTCCCCATTCTTGAACAACATGAGGTTCATAATGGAACAACATAGGTGCTAAATTATTAGCTGCACACAACATATGAGCTTCTTTATTATATTGTTTAACAAATTTGACCACAATCTTCTCTTTTGTAGTTACCAATTGAGCAGTAAAAACTAATGACATTAGTTTCTGTACCTGTCCAGTATAGATAAACTCAAATCCACCACCAGACTGTGGAAATGGGAAGAGATATTGTTTATTTTGCATCAGAGAGTTGTCATTCAATTCACTCCAATATTTTTGTAGGCGGACACATGCAATTTCCAAGGCCTTGACAATTTGTGCTGTTCTGACAATTTTGCAATTATCCAGAGATAATGTAAGCGAAGTATCAACTAAATGATTGATGTGAACATGATCAAGATATATGGCCCCATAAATAGATAAGGATGGCCCGATTAATGTAACAATAAATGCTGGGAAACAGCTGCATAGCCATAAACCATTCACTTGTTGAGTGGCACACCATCGTCCATATGTTAAACTTCCCTGAATCAATGGATCACAACCTCCTACACCAGCTTCATTCTTAGCTTCACAAAATAACAATTAGGGTTTGTATTCACGGATACCATGAATACCGTTAAGGGGGTTACACACTAATAAATCAGCAAAAAATCCCTTAAAAACACTTGATTTTAATAGTATGCAACCCTGTGTGACCTCCTTACAGTATCCATGAATACAAACCCTAATAACAATACTGCCCGTGTAATATTTTCCTTAAACAACATGAAATCATAAGTTACTGCGCCATCATTAGAAGAGCTACTTTCTGAATGCATCATTGGTTCACATTTCATTCCCAGTAACTTTTCAAAATGTTCAATGAAGATTTTTCATCTCGTGATCTCATTATGAAAGTACTTAGACATAGAAGTACACATATCTGTTACATAACCATAAAACTTATCTGTCACACTGATATTTGTGCATTCAATGAGAAACTGATCAAAGATAGAGTTGTAGAGGACAACAGGATTGGCAAGGAATTTCTTATTAGGCCTATCGCAATGAATTTTAATTCTATTTTGCAAGGATGGAAATTCTGAGAGTTTTGCCATCTTAGAAGGAGCAGAAATTTTGTACATCTCTTTTGCAATTTTACCACGCTCCTGATCAATATTATCTATACTAACAAATGAATGATTAGTACCTAGTAATGTACCTTCAGAAATTTCGGAAATACTACCTACAAAAAGAGCAGAAGTAAATAATTAGAAAATGAAAACAAGAAAAATGGAAAGAACACAATAAGTAAATGACAGGAATAACAAGTAAAAATTGGGATAATATCAAGTGAATCAGTCAAAAATATACAAATGGTAAACAAATAAATAAACAAAATGGAATTAACGAAAAATAATTTTTGTATATTGGTGATTTGCCTTGAATTATCATTTTTTATAATAACTAGAATATTTATGTATAACCCAACATTTACATTTGAGATCTTTACCTTTAAGACATTTTAGACTTCTTCTCAATCGCTCATTCTCCAACTGCAACTCTTCTGCCTTCTCTCTCCAACTCTAAAGAGGATGATTGAATAAAATTATTTTATGTTGAATTAGTGTTTACAATATTGAATACTAAATAATAATTTATTGAATAAATACTCTTTCATCATCATTTTCTTTATCTTCACTAATAAAAAAAAAAGTTTATACAGTTGGCTCTGGATATAGTGAACCTATTATATAGTGAATCGTACTATATAATGAAGTTAGAAGAATTCCAATTTCATTATATACAAATTGCTCTTGGTATAATGAATTTTAATATAAACTCTCTATATAAGCATATAATG